GCGTAATACCAACGTTTGAAGTAAACAGCTAACAATGCTACGTGATTTCTTCTAGTGGTTTAAATTTGTATTGTTGATGATGTCACAGTTTGTCAGAGCTTTTCGAAAAATCTATGAAAGTTTGCAAGAGACATTGTTAATTTAGTTTTAGACAAATTACAATATGAAAGTAATTCATAGATATTTTTTACATATCTTTATACATTACTATATAATACAATGGCGGTGTCCATGTATTAGTAATTAATAATTATACTTTCCCTAAAAGGCTTGGTCGATTTTGATGATATTTATTGTTTTTTTTTGCGTCGAGATTTAGATATATTTTTTCATTTTCTGACCAATTTTTTTTTTGATCCTGACATAAAAAAAAATATATAATCCAAAATTATCTATATGATTACAAGTACCTCTCAATATCTTTTTATTCTATGTGGAAAGACAACATCGCGTCAGTGTACGGAGTATTAGGTTATTGTTTGAATTATATTATATACCTAATTAATCCAATTAAAACAAACCATTAATACATAAGCATTATAACATTTTATTTAATAATATATAAGCGTTCTTTTAGTTTTTCTATAGTTTAATTATAATTGACATTTCTGTATTAGTATTTACTCCATAGGGAAATTATAACATTGCACGAGCAGAATTTGACTGCATCATTCTTTATGCTGCACAATTATGCACTTTAATGCCGATATACAAAGTATATTTTATATTAGACAGTTGATAAGTCATGATTATTCTAAACACGATCGGCAAACCGTTGAGGAATTATATACCGGATCCATTAGAAAGCTATATGCTTACATGTAATCGGTAAATTTAATGAAGTGTTTATTTTACTGTGAGTTATGAAATATTCCAATACAATTATTGTAATGAATTATAAATTTACTTACACCTATGTATGGAATATGGAATAGATTGACTGTATATGTATATTATACTAGCGACTCACCCTCGCTCCGTTCGGGTTTGTCCGAAAATTCGTTTTAACGGTTAGTATAGATTTCTTAGAGATGAGATATTTTCCCACTGTAAAAAGTATTCTATATGTTGACCCGGATAACCAGCTATCACTATATCAAATTTAATCAATATCTGTGCAGTGATTTTCTCGTGATACGTTCCCAGACAAACAGACAGACATTTAAAACTATAGATTCGGCCTCTGTATCGATAATAATAACTATTTCAATAAGATTTTCTAAAAATTATATCTAAAATTATGTACATATTTGACTTACTTACAATCTTATTATATGTATAGATATATACGAGTATGTAGATAGGTATTGTATATACGAAAATTAGATGTGTGTTAGTTACATCTTCACTTCTGAACGAAACATATTCTTGATTAACATATAGAGTACTTTTTATCAATGTATCTATCACGCGAGTGAAGCCACAAGCAAAATTATTTTATTAATAAGATATTATATTTAAATATCACTTTTTTTATATAATAACTCACATATTACTTAAACTAAAAAATGATGACACCTGCAAAGAACAATATTGTAACGGAGATAATTAAAAGATAGAAATTATTTTCTTAGTTACTTATATTTATTATTTAGAGTTAAATTAAAATGTGCTAAAAAACGAGTTTTAATGTTATTCCTTGCAATAAATTCAAAATTATATTAAAATAACGCTCGCAAAAACATCAGCTCGTATCACACTTTGCCTAACTGTAGAATTTTTGTGAAACGAAAATACGAATGACATCTAACTAAGGTAGGTACTTTTATCGTGTTTACATAAAAAGGCTGAGTAAATATGTAACTTGGGAACAATATTGCGTAAACGAACGTTTATATACATAATAAACTTTTACTCTGTATTTTATTTCAACTCCCTTTTGAAGTTTCGAGAGTCAAACCATCCAGCCCTTCACTGAACATGGCTTATCTTTTTATCAAAATTTATGCAACTTGAGCCTTACTTTTGAACCTTTAGAGCTTATTAAATATTAAATTAGTATATATACGAGTATATTATCTTTACTTGAAACCATTTTTAAATTGAAATTTAAAAAAGTTTTTATATAAAATAAAAACTTTTTTAGTCTGTAATAATATTTAAGTTTCATTAGTGATCAAGAATCTTTATATCAATTAAATTTTATTCCTTTATCGTGTATATATACATACATATAGATGTATATATATGTATGTCTTTACACTTAATCCCTTTATGGTGTAGCTAGAAATAAAAGTGTCAAGTACAACGATATGCGGCGTGCATATTATATATTTCGCGCTTCCTTTCACTCATTGTTATTATTCTCCTCACATACGCTTGGTTAAGACTTCTTAATACCTCCACGACCGCGGACACGCCGGCGTGTCAGTTAACAATAGATTTCTTATAATTTTAACCAATTTCTTAGAAATTTACTTGGAGGTGTTAAAATATTGAACTTACTATCTTATTCAATTTCTAAAAATCGGATATATGGCGACAACGGTTGTATCTTTTGATTGCGCTGACATAGAAGTTTGATGTTTTCACAGCTTGAAAGAATTGCAGACTTAAATATTTGATATTAATTTCAACTTTAAACCATCAGACGTTCCAGAGAAAAAGAGTCTTGACAGTCAAACAGACAAAAAGGTGGACCACGAAATTATCCTATAAGCATTTTTTTCTTTTGAGTTACGGAACCTGAAAATGAAGGACTTAATTCGAGTGCAGATTATTTCTATAAGTTACGCAATGTCATCGTCAATTGTAATCCAAAAATATGTTTTAACAGAGTCAAGTGTAGGTACCCTTTTAATACTCTCTTAGATTTACGCGAATATTTGACATCTATACATGTAATAAAATTGTAACTAAGTCGAATCTGTACATTAAATATTTTTTGGAAAATCTAATTGAAATAGACATTATTATCGATATACAGCCCGAATCTATAGTTTTTAAATTTTTTGTCTGTCTGCCTGTCGGTCTGTTACCGCATCACGAGAAACCACTGGACCGATTTTGATGAAATTTGGTATGATGATAGCTGGTTATCGGGGTCAACATATAGGATACTTTTTACCGCGGGAAAATATCTCATTTCTGAGAAAAAATACAAAAACTGCATTGTAATGTGCATACTTATATGTAAAACCTAAGAATTTGGTTTTATTTAAAATGTACCCTTTTAATGAATATTGGATATATATTGGATATATATTGGATATATAGGATAATAGAAACACATAATAGGTAATTACATCAATTAGACGTCGTCTAACTCTACCCGAGTAGTTAACTATTTACATATTATTATGTTATAACTCATCTCATCTCAGAAAAAATATAGAGCTTTTATAAGCTGTATACGTAAAAATATTATATGCCTTATTCGGCCCTGTGGTAAATTCCAGTATAAGCTGACGTCAACTATCTAACTACCAAGCTGCCAAGCTGTTCCATAGTTCAAGTAGTTTTCAGGATTTTGAGTTTAGTCAGAAATCGAATGAGTGACCTATCGTTTTTATATATGTAGGTATACATAAATATTTTTTTTTACTTTGCACACAAATCGAATCTACCACAGCAATTTTATTATGCAAATGTTCGAATGCTAGTACTGTGATATAGTATATCTTTATATATATAATTCTTTTGTGAGTGTGTATGTCACTGAACTTCTCTCAAACGACTGGACCGATTTTGATGAAATTTTTTGTGTGTGTTCAAGGGGGTCTGAGAATGGTTTAGATTCACAATTTGAATAATAATTTTCATCAAAATGGTCCAGAATGTTTTAGCTTATTAAAAAAAGTTTGAAATTTTCAAATTAAAGACGTGTAGACAGGACAACGTCTTTCGGGTCAGCTAGTATATTATAATTTTCGTTTTAACTAAGTTTCTGGATTTTCCTGTCTGTATAAGGAAATATGTCACTCAATCCATTATAGACTCTTGTAATTCTTACGAATTTATAACAAAATTTTCTCCCTTTGTAAACTTAACTAAAACTTAATTGTTAAAATCTATTGAATGATATATGTATACATTGTTTTTATTATGTAAGAATTTCATATGTTTTCTTATAAATCACATCTTTAGCTACTTTGTTTTAATATAGTACGTTATACGTAGTATAATTATAAGCTCAAAGAAAATGTAAGATCAAATACTAAGTAACTATACACCCATGACCCAATCCCAAAAAAATTATCATAAATCTCTAACTTCATTATTTTTTACTTTAAAATTCCTTTATTTTTCTCGGGTAGCTGTGGAAGCTTTGTTAAAATCATATCGATACTTCTGAAAATTCAGAATACCTGTATAAGCAAATAATTTATGCACGAATCCTATATTTAACTTACCTTAACATAATATACTTATATATATGACCTTGACTTTTATACCTACATATGTATGTATGTATGTATATATACATACATATTATACATATTATAATATTATAATAACATAGTATCTCGTGAATGATCGCTCACATCGCTCAAGTCCTTGAGTAACGGGTACTAAGATAGAAGGTAGCAGTAATTAGGTAAATAAGTAGCGATACGTTGATGAGTCAAAACAGGCCAACTAAAACACTTTCTCATTTATAATATTAAACTAGCAGAACCCGCGGCTTCGCTCATGCTATAACTTAAAAAATAATACATATAATACGCTATAACTTATAACTTAATAAAAAAACTAAAAAAGTAGGCTTCATATAAACTTTCATCTCCTATTTTACCCCCTTATGGGATGAATTTCGAAAAATGCTAAAACACGTATTTATTTAAATAATTGTTTTAAAGAGATTTTTTTATTTATCTTTAAATAAAAAAAAAGTAGAATATATAAAAAAAAATATCCTTACCAATAAAAAAATTAGAAGCAGTTTTTTCTGTACATAGATAGGTAAATTGTATTCATATACTTTTTGCTCTAATTTTAAATAATGATTATACTCGAATTTCTATATTATAAGTAATTGTTGATAATATTTGTTGTTTCAGAGTCTGATGGCGATTGTCAAGTTGGGATACACCCTTGTGGTGGTCACATTCCTGTTAATGATATGGGCGTCACTATCGCGAGCATTAGAAGTAAGTACTTTAATCTTTATATTTTTAATAAACAAGTTTTTGCCCGTGGCTTCGTTCGCGTGGTAAGTGGAGTGGGGTTCACAAGTTCAAAAGTAGCCTATGCCCTTCCGTAGGATGCAATCCTTTGCTAAGTTTTATCGAAATCTGTTTAGCGGCTTAAACGTGAAAAAGTAACAGACAGAGTTACTTTCACATTTATAAAATTAGTTTGGATTAATACTTATCATGGTTGTATAATCTATACTAATATTATAGAGAGGTTAAGTTTGTGAGTTTGTGATGTTACAGGGGGTAATCTCTAGATATACTGAACCGATTTAGATGAAATTTAGTAAGAAGATAGTTTTAGACCCTGGGAAGGACATAGTACTTTTTATCCAGGAAATCATCCCTTAAGGGGGTGAAAATGGGGATGAAAGTTTGAATGGGAAATCAAATGTCTAATACACAAAAGAGATGACATATCAAAATCTCACTAAAGTAACAATCGGACTTCAAACATACATACATTTCGTCTGGATATTTAATGTGTTAAGACGAAATTATATTATTGTGTACCAAAAGGTCGCCATAAGTTAAATGTTAACTTCAAAGGGCCGTCATAAATCCCATATTATACTTAATAACAGAGTTATAGTGTTTATTGTTACACTGTTTGCTACTTAAGTACTTCATATAAAGTGCTACTGCTACATCACTAAGACCTAGGTTTAGATCCTTGTATGGCCTAAAAAAGTTATAACGTGCTAGCGTTTGAACGTGACTCCACTCGATATTAATATTAGTTTAGGTTATCTTACAAATGATTTGTTAGGAATGTGGACTAAAACACTAACTAATACTTAAAATCCCTAAAGAAATATTTTGAAAATCATTCTAACTATATATGAATATGTTAAAACGTAATCTAAGGCGACAATTTTATTGGGTAACGTCGCGACAAATATACGGTCTTGAATCTCATAGTAATAACATGAATCTACACGCTCCTCCCGTTACATAATATAAATTGTTTTTATGTTGGTTCACTACATGAAATATAAATGTAGTGCTATGTAGTTAATGTTGAATATGAGACTTGAGAAGATACTTTTGGAATTCTGGTATACATACATAAATAATAAATAATAATAAATAAATATGTTGGAACATTTACACACAACACCATCTAGTTCCATGGTAAGCTTCGAGGCTTGTGTGGATACCAGATAGTTGATACACTACACATATATAACTTTAAATACATACATATTATAAATATAAACACCCATGACTGGAGTACAAACATTCTTGCTCATTACACAAATGAATGCCCCCAGCGGGAGTCGAATCCGCGACCACTATTTGCTGGCACAGCAAATAGGGTCACTACAAACTGAGCCAAACGTGTCGTCGATGATATCGACATAATATGTCAATCGGAAAAAAATATTCAAGAATTATAATTGAACTATTTTTTTTTATCTTGTAGAAGATTTAAATGAAGTTTAAATAGCATACTTAGACGTGTGAATTATACTTATCTTAGAAGAAAAACATTTGCAAGTTTTCGAAAAACATCATGTAAATCCGCCAACCCGAACTTGGCCAGCGTGTTGAACTATTATTGGTCTCGTATTGCAGGGAGGCCCGTTCCCAGCAGTGGGACGTTAGGAAGGACTGCTGTTATAAAAAATAATAATAGCACTCTGGTGTTAACGTAGCTTTCTATTAGTAAAAGAATTTTCAGAATAGGATCTGTAGTTTCAGAGATTACCTTGTACAACCAAACTTACAACACTTACAACTTTATTGAGAACAAAAACATTTTTTTTATCAAATCTAACTAGTATTTTTATATATTATACTAATGTTATTTGTTACAGTTACACGTCGATACTGGTCACCCACCATGCTTGTTCCAAGCTCTTTGCACGTGTTCAAAACCTGCAGGAGATCTAGGCATCGTTACGTGTAACTACGTGCCCATACTGCGGGTACCGGCAGCAGTGAATAGCTCTAAAGTCTTCACGCTTCAGCTCACTGGAAATAAGATTAGAGATCTTGAACCCCACTTCTTTCAAGCAACCGGTAAGGTTTTGTTAGTTAAGAGTCTAATATGTAAATGAATGAAAGTTAGATAACTTGCTGATATACGATGCTGTTGGTATGCGCATCGCTAGACATTGCGTGGATGGACCGATTTGTAATTTTTTTTTAAATTCGTACATATTAATAGGTAATAATGTTTTTAGAATTTTCAAATAAAAATATATATTTTAAATCGACAAAGTGTACGTTTGTCAATTTAGCTAAAACACCGGTTGTACAATATTTTTCGTTTTATATTTTGAAATCCATTCCCATGCGGATAGAAAGAAAAACATTTTTATACAAATATTGTTAAAGCTTTATCTTTTACCGGAAATTACTAGCCTTTGTTATGCTCAAGCCCTATCAGTGTAAACGTAGAGCACGTTTACGCTGTTATGACATATATTTTAAATGACTAGCGATTGATTCTCCATGCAAACTTTCATCCACATTTCACCCATTAAAGGGATGATTTCCGGAATAAAAAATATCCTTCCCTTCCTATGTCCTTTTCAGGGTCTCAAACTATCCTCTTACCAAATTTCATCTAAATCGCTCCAGTAGTTTTTGAGTATATTTATTAGTGTAGATTTATATGAAATAGTTAATTTGAGTATCCTATATTTTATTCCAATTCGTTTTAAACCTATGTTTAAATATCTTCCGAAATCGTCCAGTAATTTAAGCTCGAAGAAGTAACAAACATATACACATATACAAACTGGCATTATATATAGTATAATAGGTGACCCATAAACATATAATACATAACTCATATGTTGGGACATTATCTCACAGCACCATCTAGTTCCGTGGTAAGCTACGAGGCTTGTGTTATAGATACTAGATACAACTATCTATATACACTACACATATGTATATAACTATAAATATATACATATTATAAATATAAACACCCATGACTGGAGTCAAACATTCGTGTTTATCACACAAATGAATGCAACCAGCGGGACTCAAACCGGCGACCGCTGGCACAGCAAGTAGGTTCACTACAAACTGAGCCAAACGTGTCGTCAATATATAATACCTTTTGTACGCTTACAAAATTTTAAAACGGATTGTATGAGAACTAAGCGTGAATAACTGGTGGCCACAGAGCTGAATAATAAAGGGCAGGCCCCGTGACCCATTAGTGGATTGCACATTTCTATCTTCAAAACAGAGCTACCTATTAAACATTGTTATTTTATTACCACTTTGTTTTACTACTTTATAACAATAGCGATATATTTTTGATTCTTTTGAGGGGTCTTTAAGTGCCTTTGGAATTAAAAAAATACAAACCCTCGCTTCATTCACATCATTAGATGCTTAAAAGTAGAACATGTATTAATCCTGGTATCTATCCGTGTATTAATTTTCATCCAAATCCGTCCAGTCGTTCCAGCGTAATGGAGCAACGAACATACACACAGAAACTTTGGTATTTTTAATAGTAGTTTAATTACTACAATATTTTCAATACAAAGGTTACTTCCTAAAAGATATTGCTTTTAGTAGAGATGAGCCGACTATGAGTTTTGCCGACTAGCCGACTAGTCGGCCTACAAAAAAAATGCCTACCCACAAAATTACAAAATTAAATTTAATGAAAATAATATTTTTCATTAATAATATAATCGCCCTTTTTTAAGAATAGTAATATGAATAAAGTAATGGCCCAACTAGTCGGTGCTTCTGGCTGACTAGTCGCCGACTATAAATATGGCCGGATAGTAAGCTTTCCCGACTAGTCGGCCACTAGTCGGTACATCTTTGGTTTTCATCTGTTAAAAGTCAAAAAAATATTCAAGAAGTCAAATATTTAAAAGCCAAATCAATGATACACTTCTATAAATCTAAATTTGTTAAGCTGTAACAAATTGATTGAGTTGTAGAACATTACTAATGCTATTATTAATAGGCTTACTAGGACGCAGCTAAGTCAATAGTCAATACACTTGCTGTTCATTACTATCGATGTAATATGGCTTATGCAATACTAAATTAACATAATAGATTTCAAATGATCTGAATATATAATACAAATATGTTTTATTTAAAATTTTAAGACGCCCTTTTAGGATGACTGTTTATTAATGTGTATATATATCTCCTTAAGTATATTGGAGATAGCTTATATTCATGATTGACATAATTAAGCCTTTTACCGCCTTACCTAGGACATGAGCAGGATTGTAGATTAAGTTTAGTTGTTTTATTTTGTTACCTTATAACCGTTAGTATGGAATACATAGACTATATAGTCTATGTATGTATGTATATATATATATATATATATATATATACACATAGGAATGATGAGTTTTATATCCCTTACTTGAGAAATTGATGATTTCCGGTGTAAAAACTATCCTACGTTCTTCCCAGGGTCTCTTCCAAATTTCGTCTATCTATCAGTTCAGGCAATTAAGCGCAAAAAGGTAACAGACAGGCAGACAGACATAGTTACTTTCGCATTTATATATTAGTATGGATTACTATGATTCAATTCAACTCTTTGTTATGTCTTTGAAGCATTACTAAGTTAATTTTCTTTGCTACTTAAAATACTGTTTGCATTAGAAACAGAGACACTGTTTTTATTGTTCATACGTTTATTGTCACCGTTAGATTTTCTTTAGAAAAGTTAAAATCAACACGACAAACTTAGAAATAGCAATTTCATCCCACTTCCAAACATCGTTATTTAGTTTAAAACTCTACTATCAAAGTTAGAGTAGCGAGATTGCACGCGACATAGCCACCTGCTTGTTTGGACAGTTAATTAAGAGATCGTACGAACTGTTTGTAAGTCTTTATCCAATCTGTGTTTTCTGTGGACACTATTTAGACCGAAAATGGATAAACAGGTCGACATTTCTGTCATTTGCATATATAGAGTATGACTGATTATGAGAGTATTGTTGGACATAGGATGGCTATTTTCTATTTTAACAAGATATGAAATCTAAAAAATGCTTATACTTTATTCGAATTGACTAAAATAGTAAAAATAAACTGAGTAATTAATTAATTTTTCGAAAAACAATATACTATTTTTTATTTCTAAAAAAACTGTAATAATTATAATAATAACAGCCAAAATTAAATAAATAATACTTCATAATATTCAATAATAATTATAAAAATAATTAAAATTATATAAATATGTTTTAAAATTAAATTAACAAATGTTGTAAGGTACTTTGGGTGCCATTTTTCAATTTTTTGAATTCATTTTGCTATTTTGTGGGTAGGCTGTATTTAACAACTATATAATGCCTTTGAAACATCTAACACGACAGTCTCTCCCGTGACCATGATTGCTGTAAAGCATTCGAAACTTCGGAAACCAAATAAATTCGCGAAAAAATCCGAAAAGATAGTTTTATTTAAAATGTCAAATATTTGCATAAATATAAGAAAGTATTAAGATACTAAAATTCATAACTTTATCCTTATAAGCTTTTTTTACAATTTGTATGAGTCCAATGTCAAATATCTTTCGCTAGTAAGGAAAACCACAGATAAATAAATTATTGGGATTCATCGAAAATATACCTACACCGTTTTTTACAATGCAAAATTAGATTTAGTTTTGAAAAACAATATAAACATAGTTTTATAAATATTTAATCATTAATATTGTAAGTATAAAAGTAAGAATAAAATAAAAAATTCTTTAACCTTGCCTATCGTAGCAACATCGTTCGAACTAGTGCTTACTTAAAAGAATAATTTATTGCAATCTCATAAATTCCAGGTATGTACAGACTGGCTATAAACCAGAATCCACTTGAGAGTATACAAGATGAAGCATTTTATGGACTAGACAATACTCTGTGGGAGTTGGAACTAAAGCAGGACAGATTGACGGCAGTCCCCAGCCGAGCTTTGAGGTACCTCCAAAAGCTACGTCTGCTTGATTTAACGGGTAAGGTTTTTTCTATAATAATTGCTCTCTGATATTTGGTTTCGTATGGTTTTATTATTATAGATACTAGTAGCAGGTCCCGGATTCACCTTTTTTTTATTTTAACTACTCTCGTATAATATTGGTTCAGACAATCTTTTCTTAATGACAAACGTAAATCATTATAGACGTAGAATATGAAAATCAGAAATAGCATAAACGCGTAAATTCGTAACTAGGTTCGTGCTTCTACATACAAACCTTCACCATTTTCACCCACTTAAGGGATGATTTTTAGGATGAAAATTATATTAAAAATTATATTTATAGTAGATTTTATTCTATGAATTTGTTTAATTTCTTTAGATCATAGAATTAATATTTATTATTTTTATATATATCTAGCTACTCACCCTCCCTTTGCTCGGGTTCGTCCTTGGGTTGCTTCGCCATACAAACTTTCATCCCCAATTTTACCCCCTTAAGAAATCATTTCTGAATTCAAAACTATCCTATGTTATTCCCAGGTTCTCAAACTATCTTCTTACCAAATTTCATCTAAATCGGTTCAGTAGTTCCTATTCGGTAAAAAAACAATAAAAAATCAAATCATTCCTCTTTATAATATTAGTATAGAGCATCTAACACATTTTCGCATGGGGTATTCACCTTAAAAGGTAATGCATTTAGCAATAAGAACTTTGTAACATAGTATAATTTTTACTGTAATATTGTTAACACCACTGGTGAAACTTCGATGATCTGACTGATATTTCGTTTCATAACTGCTACGTCTTTCACTACAATTTATTTTATGAATTTTGTACGATTTATTTCTTTAATTAGCATTGTACTTTAAAAATTTTACTAATTATTTATTTTTAATTATACATTTTCTATTCACTTCTGAACAACCAATAGACTATTTCATCGATGAGAAATATTTTACAAAATATACTCATTTTCTAAAGTTTCTATAGAAAAATAGTTCAACAGTTTGCTTAACAGTTATTTGATCGTAAATTTTCAAGAGGTTAACGTGGTCACAAGTAGCAAAGGCTTGAAGGAATTTAATAAGGAAATATTAATCATGCTACGATGGCCTCTTCAATAGGTCTGGCTGAATACCTACTTGACTGAGAATTTTGTGCGACATCTCTAGATACTTCTTAAGATAACATTTTTAAGTTATTTTTCTCAATTTACGGCTTAAAGTAGCATTGGACATTGCTTGTGCTCGCTTTTGTTGATTCAACAAAGACTTAAAAGGAAAATAACGATGTGTGATGTTGACAGCCAACAAGACTTTTATATAGAGATTTACAATGTACATACTGTAATTAATGAATTCATTTTTTCATCTATAATAAAATTCTGAGTCGAATCTGTACATTAAATATTTTTTGAAAAATCATATTGAAATAGTCATTATTATCGATATATGTCACAATTTAGTCATAAGCGCAGACATTCAAAGAGAAAACGCGGTTAGCCTATACATTTTTTTTTACATGCATAATATATGTACGTACATTTTATTAAATACTAGAAACTCGTTACGTTTTAACGTTTAGTATAGATTTCTCAGAAATAAGATATTGTACCGCGGTAAAAAGTATCCTATATGTTGACCCGGATAACCAGCTATCATCATACCAAATTTCATCAAAATCCGTCCAATGATTTTCTCTTGATGCGTTCACAGACAGACAGACAAAAATTCTAAAAACTATAGATTCGGCCTCTGTATCGATAATAATGTCTATTTCAATAAAATTTTCAAAAAAATATTTTATGTACAGATTCGACTTAGTTACAAATTTATTATATGTATAGACAGGGCAAAATATGTTCCTTGATATGGAGTGCTTGCGTGTGATGCGCTCATGACCTAATATCCTTTTTCATCTTCACGTATTTTGTCTAAAGATATAATAATAAATTATAATTTCATCCAATTTGGAATCGATCGTCATCATAAAGCAAAAAAATAAATACTCATATACGGGGGCCTGTCAGATAAATCATTATTCTTCAAATTGTAGAATGACATGTTGTCTCCCTACAAGAAGACAATCCAAGCATGAACCTGTTATATCAGGAGTAATAAGCTATACCAAACCTACATTTTAACAAACCACTGCCCCACAAGAAACACTTTTCAACTAATTAAAACTATTTGCCGTACGTTTTCAACTTTTTGTAAATACTTAGTTTGGTCGATCTCTGGAGAGACGACGGTACTTAATAGCTAGTCTGCTTAAGTTGTGAATTGGTCTTGTTTAACTTGTGAATACATTATGACGCCTTTGTCATCAAGCTTATAAATATGTTGGGACATTACCACACAGCACCATCTAGTTCCATGGTAAGCTACGAGGCCTGTGTTACAGATACCAGATAGTTGATACACTACACATATACATATAAACTCTAAATACATACATATTATAAATATAAACACCCATGACTAGAGTACAAACATTGGTGCTCATCACACAAATGAATGCCCCCAGCGGGATTCGAACCGGCGACCGCTGGCACAGCAAGTAGGGTCACTACAAACTGAGCCAAACGTGTCGTCGCTTAAGCTTATGACGATCATCAATTCGCCAAAGTGGTAGATTGAATTTGGCAAATGATGTAATGACTCATAAAATACAACAACTTGTATGTAAAAATATTAAATATAGTGTCGTTTAAAATGAAGGATAATGTTTGAAACAACTTAGTCTTTGTAATTTGTTGTATCATCGAAATATAACAGAAGGTACAATTTTTTATTGAAATCTTTCCTTATTCAATAGATTTTTTCTCATTTCTAAATCTTACTTAGGCAAAATAATTTACATTTATTTTTAAATTTGATGTTTGATCTAACTATTTATGGCGATATTCTAATGGGCGACAATTATATTTTACAATTTCGTTTCAAGGACCCGTGAAAAAGGGACTAGCTAGATCCTTACCAATTTAGATACAATGAAGCAATAGTAACGTAAATTCTAATGTATACCAAAACATAATAAAAACTGGCCAAGTGCAGGTTGGATTCTTGCTAAGGGTGTCAAAGCATACATACCTATAATTCTCGTACATGTACTTACATATATTGTCTATTTTACTTATTCATAAATATAACTTATATTAATATCTTGGTAAATTGGAACCCTTGATATGCAAACCCTATTCGTAACTAGCCATTTTTCAATACTAATATTATAAAGAGGAAAGGTTTTTTTGTTCGTTTCTTTGTTTGTTTGTACTGAATAAGCTCCGAAAATACTGAACCGATTTAGGTAAAATTTGGTAAAAAGATACTTTGAGACCCGGGAAAGGACATAGGATAGTTTTTATTCCGGAAATCGTCCCTTAAAGGTGTTAAAATGGGGATGAAAGTTTGTATGAAACAGCAACCTAGGGACGAACCCGAGCGAAGCGAGGCTGAGTCGCTAGTTTTATACATGTATGTACTTAATAGTATAGTGGTAATAACATACAATAACTAAAGACATGCCTCATCTCAAACAGTATGTGTTGCATTATCCTCGACAGTTCATTAGTCTTTTTCCTCGAGGAAGCTTTGTTATTCAGAAACATTATTTACTCAAACAACAGTCTAACATAATATTCATATTACATCTTGTTACAATAAAAACTTTGTAATTTGTTCACGAATTACAATTGTAATTTTTATATTAGGTATATTATTTTTTACTATATGTCACGTTTTATTATAAAAATATTGTTTTAGTAATAATTATAGTAATAGAAATAAAATAAGCTCTTCAATTACAAAATATTTGTTTATATATAAAATACTAGCAGAACCCGCGGTTTCGCTCGCGCTAAAACTGCAAAAAATGTAACCTGCTAAAAAGGTAGTTTCATACAAACCTTCATCCCCTATTTAACTCCCTTATACGTTGAATTTCGAAAAATGCTAAAACACGTATTTATTTAATTTTCTTGATAAGTACTAATACCAAGTTTCAAGTAATTCTGATATATTTTTTTTTGGATTGTATTATATCGCGTTTTCCCGTGGGAATTAGATAATCTCCCGCGTAAAAAGTAGCCTATGTCACACACCAGCCCTCCAACTATCTCCACACAAAAAATTACGCCAATCCGTTACTCCGTTTCGACGTGAAAGAAGGACAAACAAACAAACACACTTTCACATTTATAATATTAGTTATTATATTATACATACTACTTTACATAATATTTTATTCGATCAATGTTTTCCGTACATAATAATACACAAATTCGGATTTTAAACATCTTTATTCTTGAGACTCGAGTGAAACACTTGATGATAATTAATTTCAAGTGAATTTAATTATGTCATTTAGGTAAAAATAAATAAATGTATAACGTACGTATATTTATATATAAATATGTATAAAATAATAATGTATGACTGCCTCGGTGGTGTAGAGGCTAACATTTACGTTTGCACATCTATGGATGTCCTGGGTTCGAGTCCCCGGTCGGGTCAATTGAAGTTATTGAGTGATTCCGTTTAGATAGTCCCGGTAACACCTCGGAGTTCATAAGTTGGCGGTGTGTCATCCTCGGAAATGGGAGCGCACGTAAAGCAGGTCCTGCCTGTTTTTTCACCAGTGTCGTATCGAATTATCCTTCCATTGGAATTTGAGTGACCGGAACAAGGAGTGCACTTGTGTATACACATACTATAATATCTCCTGCGAAGATGGCTAGAATGGCTTCAATGACTTTGGTCGCTGTGACCAAAATTGGTGTTATTATCTATAACATAAAGAAAACTCCTTTTTATATATAAAAAAATATATCTGAAAACCGTATTTAAAAAATATTTTATCTTATATTTTAGGCAATGAAATAACAGATGTTACGGGGGACAATTGGCTTGGCCTTGAGAACTCGCTGCAAACCCTCGTCCTAGCAGAGAACTCCATAGCTAGCCTACCTTTAGATGCATTCTCTGGATTACTCAACTTAGAAACTTTGGACTTGCACGGCAACCACCTATCTGTGATCGACAGTGGCGTCTTCAGAGATGGTATGAGCAGACTAAGTAAGGTAAATAAATAATTTATTTTTAGTTTAAAATTTATATGTATAACATTTTCAAATAATATACACCCAGATCCAGTTACTTTAAACATTTTTATAGAAGGATCCCAGAATATGTTAAATCTTCAGCGGCTAAATTTCAAAATATAATAAATGATTTTTTAGAATATATATGTATACAGAAATTATGTGATCGAAATGTAAATTTCATTATGTATCTTTTGGCAGATCTGGTGTATTTCTTTCGTTTCCTAACAATATTTTTTATATATTGTAAATATTCAAACTTCAATAGTAAATATTCAAACTTTACTTTACTTATTACTATTTTATTTAGCCGTGAAATGCCTTAGTTATTCAAGACATTAAATCTTTAACTTTTCGACTTCCTGCACCAGAATTTATGGGAAAACTTTTAATTATATATTTGCACGGGTATTCACGAATTTTACACAACTTGTTTGTATAAAACTATAATACTTTTATACAATTCTAGACTACTAAAAGTGTACTAATTAACATAAAAAAGTGATAAAACGATAAAGTTTATGAAACGTAGCATTAATGTAATACAATTATCATACCGTTTGTTTTTTTGAGCGGTACCCTAATTCTTTTTCTAAAATAAAAGTAGCCTAAGTTACTCCTTATAACATCAGCTATCTGCCAGAGAAAGTCTCATCAAAATTAGTCTAGCCATTTCGGAGATCAGCTGGAAAAAACAGACAGACAGATAAAAATTAAAAAAATGAGTTTTTCTTATAGGTACCGTATATAATTTCATATGCTATTAGTAAAAAGCTGTAATTTTGACATTACAAACACTTCAATTTTATTTTTCCGGACGTATAGGTGGGAGCCACTTAAAATGATCATGATTTTCCCGTCTGCATTAAACTTGTTAACAGTTGTTACGCGTTGATAGTATACACTGCGGTAAACACAGCTTTCTGCTTTGCTGCTTTTTGCTGGTTTTGTTTAATTTGTATATATACAAATTAAACAAAACCACACCGCAATACTACACTGCAATGCGTTTTATTCATATAATATAATTATTATCATTGCTCTACTAGAATATTATAAGGTCCAAGGTTCGAATCTCTGGGCAAAGCAAAAAGCAACTGGTTTTATGTCAATAAAATATAAATTCTTAATAACTGTCTTGATTTTGAACTTCACTTTAAATGTGTTAAAAACCTTTTGACTGCAATATTACTAAAGAATTAGTAAAATCGGTTTTTAATTGGCGATGTAACAAACACAAAAAGCATTTTTGGCATATTAATCGAATATTGGGCTCCTCCTTCTTTGTGCTATAAAGTGGTTCATAAATAATTTTTGCTTAAAACTTAAATACACTGATTTCGCTCGGGTGCGTATCCAGTTGTTTATATAATGGAATATAATTTCTTTACACATTTTTTTATTAACAGTAGTAAAACTATGTTTTATTTCAGGTCATAGTGTATCTGTGAATTAAATTTTATCCAAATCCGTTCCGCCGTTTCAGCAAGAAGGAGTAACAAACATACACACACTCATACAAACTTTCGTGTTTATTATACATATATCTTTTCAGCTTCTCCTTGGAGACAATCAGCTCACGTTGATCCCTTACGAGGAGCTGTCACCACTACGCCAATTGCGTTATTTGGACCTATCTAACAATTTGATTAAGCAAGTACCGCCTGCACATGAATTGAACGGCGTCAGGCTTTCTTTGGACTATTTAAAGTAAGTGTACTGTTATTACATAACAGCTAATAAAAATATTATAGAATTTTATCATGTGACTATAATATTCTCCTATATTAAGTATACATGAAATACATAATATATTAAAAACTAGCGACTCACTCTCGCTTCGCTCGGGTTCGTCCCTAAGTGATTCTTTAAATTGACATAACTCTTTTATTTATAAACTGATAAAAATGAAATAAAAACTGAATGTTAAATGAAGCTTATTACAATACATAAGTGAAAACCGCACATAAATTGGTTAAGATGTTTCTGGGATTAGCGTGCACAAAAACACAGACAAACAGACAAAAAATCTATAAGCCATTGTTTTGAGTTCTATCGCGTTAATAACGACCCCCAATTATAGTTTTTCTCAGATATCTTCCATGTACAGACAGTAATAGAATTCTAATTAGTAGGTATTTTCTGTATTATTTTAATAATGTCGCTCTTTTATTGTTTCAGATTGGATCAAAATAATATTCGTGTATTATTACCAGGGTCATTCAATTACTTTAACATCTTAAACACAACAACTTTAAATGGCAACCCCATATACACAATAAGAGTAAGTAATTTTAACGTTATAATCATAGTCTTCTTCTTCTTCTTCCTCTTAGTTTCTTTGTTATTAATACTAATAATAAGAAGAAGAAGACTAGGTATTAAGAATTACTATAAAGTCTTGTTCTTCAAATAATTATCGTTAATAACTATTTGACCGAATACAAAAATAGAAGATACTCATTTCGTTATCGCGATTCGCCATTTGTAAATCGATTTTCATAATTCTTTTTTTTTCATACCAAAAAATAATGACTTGTTATATATTAGTTGGAAGCTTAAAAATTTACGAGGATGTTCAAAATTGAATTACAAAAAAAATTACAGTATTATTACATTTGAGTAATGTGGTGAACGTAAGTTTACATATAATATGATGACCTCTGCATATTTGCTGCAATTATCTAGCCTCTTAGCCTTCTTGTAATACCTGCTAAGACCTTGGCGCTTAGACAAAATGACATTCTATAATTGCATCGCTAATAGAAAAATACTAACATATGTGAATCCACGTAAATATATTTTTTTTTTATTTTAAACCCACATAGCCCATGTACATTCGAGGGTTTTGAATAATAAATAACACCATTATCTTCATAATTATTAATACGTCCTATTTTACAAAACAAAATGTCATACATACGAACGAGTATAGGCTCGGAATCTCTTAAAATAGAATTAGATCAAAGCATTTTTTTGAAAAAATAATCTGAACTAATGTTCAAATAAAACAGTTAAATTTTGTAGCCATTTATTAACATTTTCTTATATCGACAACAAATTGTTTCAGGAAGACGCATTCCGCAATGCAAAAATCAGGACACTGTCTCTCAGAGATTGTGGTGTCACAGAGTTATCGCCCGCGTCCTTCGCCGGCCTCGAGAACAGCCTGCAGAGCTTGGATCTATCTGAAAACAACTTGACTATGATATCGAAGTTTATGCTCAATAAGTTGGACTCGTTAAGATTCTTGAACCTTAGGGAAAATAAGGTATTTAACTTACAATTATTAATATTAAACAGATTTATATATTTTTAGATCATATTTATGTACGTATTTTTCACTAGAATTGGTAAGGCATAAGACCTAATATACTATTTAATATTATTTATATAATATTTAATTCTCAAAAGCTTGATTTTAATCTATACATATAATAAAACTGTAACTAAGCCGAATCTGTACATTAAATATTTTTTGGAATATCTTTTTGATATAGAAATTATTATCCATACAGAGGCTGAATCTATAGTTTTTAGATTTTTGCCTGTCCGTCTGTCTGTCTGTCTGTTACTGCATCGCAGAAAAACCACTGGAGGGATTCCGATGAAATTTGGTATGGTAACAGCTGGTTATCCGAGTCAACATAAATATCTCATTTCTGAGAAAAAATACAAAAACTGCAATGTAAGAGTATACTAATATGCCAAACCTAAAAATTTAGTTTTTGGTCAAACATAAACAAAAATAAATTAATTGAAGATTAAGAAATCTAAATAAAAGTGATGTGAGAGAGATCCTAGAATGTATATATTCCCGAGAGCACAGACAAGATTGTCCAAAATTGAACGTTTTGTTATTATTGCTTTATATTATTACTAGCAATTCCTTGCTTCGCTGGAGTTCGTCCCTAGATAGATACGTTTTAAATGGCGAAGACAAATCCAACAAATTAAACATCATAAAAATCGCTCCAACCGTTATAAATGGTGTAACTAACCAGACTTTGTTTATATATATAAATTATACTAAATTTCAGGTGGATACAAATTTGCTTTCATCTAACAGTCCATCTGAATACGGTATGCAAGTCACGAACAGCTTTCAATACAAGTTGTTCTTTTTGGACATTAGCGGTTCCTCGTCTCTCGAAATGACTTTGCAAGATGTTAGAAGGTAATTTTTAATAATCACATTCTTTCCAACTAATACTAATATAACTAACATTCATTAATTTACACAACCTAAAAGCTTGTTATATATGGTTTTATATTTACTTAACATGTTTATATATAAATAAATATATGCCTAACTAACCTATATTTAAAATTAGCAAAAATTACAACTCCCAACGGATAATAGGTATCAATAAATCTTTTTTCCAATTCTTCTTATTAATTAGTCTAGATTTTTAATTACTTTAAAAATTGTAGAGTAATTTTGAAGTAACAGTATTTTATAAGCTTTTATTTTATTTGCTTTTTTGTTTTGATTTACGATTTTTATAATAAATATTTTTAATAATATTCTTTTAAGTATTATGACATTCTTTCTGACATATTCACATTTAATCTAGCTCATATTTTTCTAATTCTATATGAATGGACTTTCTTTTCTTCTTTCTTCTCTTAATTTTTAGCTGTTTAATTTATTATAAAACTTAAATTAAAACTTATTAACTTAGCTTTATTAAAGTATAATTGTAGACTTAGAAAAATAGTTTATAAGTTTCCTTCAAACTTAGTTTTATTTCCTCTCAGTGAGCGTTATATTTTTTTACTGAACGATTCTAGGGCTGCCTCTACTTAACGTAGTTAACTAGTTTATATACTTAGTTCCTATGCTCTGCTCGGATTTTAGCATCCCTTGTATAAAAAGGCCGAAATAGAATTATAAATATTCGCTTAAGTTATATAGCTTCGTACCAGTCTTTGGTTACATTTTGATTACAGAAACGAGTCAGACATATGCCGCGATCAGAGCAAGTAAGTTTCGGTATGTTTTTCTACCAATCGAGGCTTAGTTCGTTGTTATTGGAACGGATGTTAGTCGCTTCTTGTCACTATGCGTTTGTAGCACGTTTTAAAGCATCTACAAGTATTTATATCATACCAAAAATTCTATCGTTCGATATGTCGTTGTTGTCATGTATTTCATTTCATATGAAATTGAATGTGCTTCGCAACGTTCATTTTTTGACTCATCATAACTATCTTTAATAAAACTATCTTTTCGGTTTTTTTTCGCTGATTTATTTTGATTTTTGGTTCCCGACGTTTCGAATGCTTTAAATCAATCATGGTCACGGGAGAGACTAAAGTTTGAGATATCTCAAAATCTCAAAGGTCAATACGTCTAGAACTCTCTATCTCAAAGGTCAATACGTCTAGCCTCTCCCGTGACCATGATTGTTATAAAGCATTCGAAACGTCGGAGACCAAAAATCAAAATATTTACCAGGGGTAGGACTCTGTCAAGCCTGAGGAGTCCGACTGGATGGGTACCACCCCCTTATCTATATTTCCCGCCAAGCAACAATGATTACATTGTTGTGTTTCGGTTTGAAGGATAAGGTAGCCAGCGCCATTACAGGCAAGAGGCATATCATCTTAGACAACGCACCTGCGGTTCTGCATTTTTGTAACATAAAACCTAAGTGCATGAACCGTAGGTATTATGGGCGTCAGGTACCGCTTTCCATCAGTTGGGCTGTCTGCTCGTTTGTCACTGAATACCATAAAAAATCCGCGAATAAATCCGAAAAGATAGTTTATTTAAAAAAAACAAATACTCGCATAAATCTAAGAAAGTATCATCATAACTAGTAGAATGCTTTACTTAGTAAAAGATTTAACTTCTAAAACTCGATTCGAAATGCTTGCACATGTGTTGTTTGTTACTAAATCAAAGGTTGTCGTCGTCTTTTTTTTTGTTTTTTATTTTTTTATTTTCAGTGACTGTCATCGTTATATCAAGGTGAAGGACTTCATTATCTATATCAATTCATGATGATTATACAATGTCATAGCAAGTTTTTAGGTTGTGTAAATGTATTGAAAACATTCCAAACGTGTTTGAAATTAGTTGCACGGTGCTTTTGAAAAAAGTTCTTCGAGAGTTCCGTATTTATCATTTATTATTCTTCTTATATAAAGTTTATGTGGCATCTAAGATTTTTATAATATCTAAAAATAACCATGTCAGTTCTAATATTGAACTAGTTTTAATATTGTTGGATACGGAAGTCGGAAATAAAAAGAACATAATAAATGCAAACAAAATTATGTCGCTGTCGTACATAAATCTTTTTTTTTTGCAGAATGCGATCTCTCCGATTCCTATCGGTCAGTAAATTGATCAAACGAAGTATAAGCACAGATGATTTTGTTGATTTTGGTGTAGAATTAGAAGATTTGAAAATTATTGGTAGTAACATAAACAGAATAGAATCGAGTGCCTTCCAACATGTCCGGACTATCAAAACATTGGATCTATCGGAAAATAATATCGATTATATCGATCCATTTGCGTTTGCAGAGGTGATACTATGTAATATGTTATCGAAATCTTATTAAATTGGTGCTAATTTAATATTTTGACCTGTATTATGATAATCATAGAGCTTCTTTTTAAATCCAAATCTCAAATATTATATATTTTTTCAGTTACATAGTTTAACATCATTGAAAATGGCAAACGGTTTGGAAGACTCTGTAAAAATATTGCCGTTTGAACCTTTAAAGGCTCTCATAGAGTTGGAGAATTTGGATTTAAGTAATAATAAACTGAAGAACGTTCCAGATACGTCATTCCACTTCATGTATAAACTAAAGAGATTGAATTTGCAAGATAATTTGATTGATCAATTTTCTAAAGGCACTTTACAGGTAATGCAGCGAAACAAATTTCATATTAATCGTAGATATATAATATTAAGTTTCACTACACTGTTTGTGTGTTCAATATAAAATGTATCTCTCAGTATATATTATAGAATAGTGTAAAACTGCTTGATCTATCATAACTATCTACTATCTAGCATAAAGTGAGTGCAGTTTGTTATATAATAGTTAATTTAAGTGTACGTAACACATTTGTGTATGAAAATTTAGATTTACTAAAGAAATTTAAAAAGTATCATTATTATATGAGATATTCCTAAAAATTTTGAACTTTTAGTGAATTCATATATAATGCATAACTAATTTTGCCGGCGATGACGTAGCAGCTACGTTATTAAAATAGCCTATATGCTATCCTAGATATTAGCTATCTACATTCTAAACTTTACCCCAATCCAATTTATTCAAAAAAATCTCATTTATAAATAATATAAATTACAGTGATAAATAATAATAATAATATAATAATAATAATAATACCTTTATTGACGTAAATACAAAAGGGTTACAAGACATTTATTTTTAAACTATATAATTAGCACAATCTTTGTTTAGGTATACTAACGTCTGAACTAGGCCGAGCCTGTATCTCAGACGCTAGCCTCTTCCTATTACACAATTTGTTTATTGCTAATAAGTTAAATGTAACATAATACTAAAAATATATATGATATACAATGTGAACAATTTCGAGATACATCAGCGTAGGTACTTATTTAATTTACTAAAAATGGCTAAAATTATCATAATATTCTTTTTATTTTACAGGGTGACATTCATCGTCAGTTAGAAAGTGTATGCTTATCGCTTAATCAGATGCAAAGGATAGATCAACACACATTTGTAAACTTACTAGAAGTACAGGAGATACTTATTGAAGACAATTTAATAGAGACTGTACACAGACGATCGTTCGCGAGCTTAGATAACTTAAAAGTGATTCGGTTGAGAGGAAATATTATCACTGTTATTAGTGAAGAAGCTTTCCAGAACCTGCCAGCACTTAAAGAGTAAGTAAAGTAAAAATGACACTTTAGTTTGTTTTAAAGAACTTGTCAAGTAATAATTATGATTTTAAACTTCACTAATAAACTGGCTATAAAAATCAATTTTCTTAAATCTGTTAATAATTATCAATACTAAATAGACTGAAAACTAGTTTTAATGAAAAAATATGATGACATATTGAATTTGAAATTGATAGAAACTTAACAGGTTACAGCTTGTAGATAGCAATCACATTTTACACATTTTACGAATGCTTATATAACATATATATATTTTTTTCATTTAAAGATATACTGAATAAAATAATTTAATATCGAATAATTAACACTGACTTTGAAAATATTACCTATTAGATGAAAGGTATGCCACAGGGCACGACTAGGTTTTGGACTTCAATTAATTTTTGCAGTTGTGATTTACGACGGAATAAAAATATTAATTTAAATATTTTCATACATAATAACTTTTTTACTTTTTCAGGTTAGATATATCATTTAATCAGTTGGAAACGTTTAAATTTTCTATCTTTGATCAAGTTGGATCTGCTACGGCTTTAAAAGTCAACGTTTCGTACAACAGAATTATTTCTCTTGCGGACTCCAATGCACCAAGTTTCTTCTCGTCGAATTTCTATCCACCACCTAAAGCTCAGAGTAAGGATTTTTAATATATTCTTTAATTAAACTGTTTTGTTGCTTTTTAAAATATGATACTTATTTATGAATATTACTTTAGCATTTTAGCTTTTGTTACTTAAATTTATCTTTTGTTTTATCACACATTATTATTTAAAAAATTTATATTTATTTCTTTTTTATTTTTAATAATTTTATTTTATTTTTACATGCACTTGTTCAAAGCTAATTCTGCTTACACAGGATTAGAATCTGAGGATGCCAGTCCTCTACGTATAGAAAGAGGTGATGGAACTTTTATTTTTCATAAATAAGTGGACTCGTAGAAATTAAAATATCCACTACGAGAGTATAAATTTTAGCTAAAAAGTAATTAGTATGATAGCCAGGGTCATTTCTAATTTACTGAAAACCATTTGGGAATATTATATATATTCTATTTACTTACAGATGTTGTTGTTATGAGGTAAATAGAATATATTATATTCTATTTACATCATAACAACAACATCTATAACAACAAAAAATGATATTTCTTAAATTTTTATTTTCATACAAAAATAAAAAAAAATTATTGCACCTTCTAAATGGTAAAGTTTTAGCATCTGGCCAAGTTTAAATGAGTAAGGGCCGCTTCCTACACCCCTCTACCCCTCCTCCACCACCGGTCACGCGCTTACTTTTGCTAATGCTGGAGTATTACCGTTTAGAAGGAGCAATAAAATATTTTTTTTTTGTAAAATTTAAGAAATATTTTTTTTTCATACAGATGTTGTTGTTATGATGTAAATAGTATATTCCGAAAAAGTTTTCAGTAAATTAAAAATTACCCTGTATAATGGAATTTTAGTTATGAAATTTTGTTACAATGCTTTACTGTTAAATGCACGTTTCTTTGTCTATCAATTACACTGCATCAAATTAGAACTTTCATTTGCTTATGGCAGGAAGTTACTTCAAAAAATTTATACTTTATTATCATTAGTAATTGGGGAATGTTAAAAAAGAAATTTAATATTAATATTTTTTGTTCATTTTTTCGTTTCAGTATAATTGTATTATTTTATAATATTTTTTCAGGTCTCGGAACTGTATCAGTAAATATTCGAGTTTTGGATTTTTCACATAACAACATATCATACATAGCGCCATATTACTTCAGGTAATTAATGGTTTGACAATACTTAAATATAAACTACTACCACGTTTCACGTTCAACAAATTTATATATCACTCCCCGGCAAATACATGAAAGATAGCGAAGTAAAAAAATTATTGTGATGATAAATGACCCAATTCTTTCAAAAGCCAATGTTCTTACATTTCTTTGACATAACAACATTAAATTTCAGACATGCGGAACTAACACTATCGGAGCTGGACTTATCACATAATCTTATACGAAATGTAACACGGGAGGTCTTCGGTTCGATGCTTATGTTACAATATCTAGATTTGTCACACAACCAAATATTCCATATGGAGTACGACTGTTTTAAGAAAGTTAAGAATTTGCAGGTAAATTACGTTTTATTCTTACTTTTTTACCAGCTCTTCTTGGGCCATAATATCGAGTACATCCAAATTGTTTATATCGAAATCCCTGCAATCGAAAACACTATTTTTTTCTACTTGCTCTTCTAAAGACAAATACGTAAAGCACTGGATTTGAGCAACTTTTTTTAGAATCGACTTCCGAGTATGTTTTTTATACATCGCAAACTAAATACGAAAAACAGCAAGTAATAAAGTAAAAAAAAGTTGGCCGTCACGGGGCGCCCGGCAGATGTGAAACATCTATGTTAAACTTAGAATTTTTACTTACACACAACTTCCACTTACACTTAAACTTTAGAATAAAATAAATAAATATTACGCAGTTCACACAAAGAAGCAACAAGTATAGTATACGCACACACAAGGGAGTCGAGAGCGGTGGCGTAGAAAGCCAAGGCGCGCCAATAGATATTTCAGATCAAAAAAATGGCAGTTAATAATTAAAAAAAATGCTGTTATTATACCTTTGTATTAAAATAAAAAAAATAATCAACTTTACATTTTTTCTTAACAGATTATAGATTTATCTCACAATTATCTCATAGAGCTGCCAGTCGAAGTGTTCCATGACATGCAAGCTCTTACATCCGTCGATCTCTCGGATAACAATATTAAGAACTTAGCAGACAACCTTATTATATCTCCAGCTTTGGAAAGGTATTTTTGTTATTATTTTTTTAATCTGTAGTAATGTACATTTATTTGATTTTATTCGATATAAAATATTATTTACTTTTTAATTAAAATGTTGTACTGATCTTATAAGTATTTTTTTTTTCATGATTAGAGTTTAGTTATTTTTAAATATTTAACTAACTAAATATAAGTTGAAATGAGTGGGTGAGATATTAAAAAGACAAATACTATGAGATTGAATAAGACCTCCTTTTTTAATATCACTATAGATCAGTAATGAATAATTGATTAGACTATTATAAATAAACATATAATATAATAAAAAAATAAAATATTGTAAACAGGTTAGACCTATCCGACAATGACCTATCCAGGATCCCAACAAACTGCCTATCACCGGCGGCAGCTATCAATTTAGTTGAATTGGATTTAAGCGGCAATACGATACCCAATGTCGCCATAGCTGATTTAGTTCAAAGGTTTAGAGTAAGTATGAACGTAAAAAATCATTATTCTTTGAATGATTGGTAGAATCGAAATTTGCTTGAATATAGTATGGATTGTGATTGTATATCATGTATCTATGTGAAATTTCAATTAACATTTTTCTTTAAAAAAAAATATAAGTACTGAATAACAGCGTTTCATATTCTCGATTTACCAAAGAAATGAATTAAAAAAGTGTTTTTGTATTAAAAAATTGAATTGCGTGTTAAAATAAATATACTTCTTATTAATTGAATTCAAAAAGAGAATATGAAATAAATTAAAGAACCTCTTTGAACGTTACTAACCGATAGATAGTTTATGTGTGCCAGTCAATGGCGTAGCTGGGTTACGAAAGGCTCCTCCCCCATATTATTATAATTAAATGAAAAATAAATCTCATTGTTTATTCCCATGCTCTTTCTTTGCTGAGTAGCTTTATGCCCATGTACATAATGTGCTACTTTACCAACTTAAACATGGGATACACCGTTTACCCGCCATTTTTTTTTTCTAAAGTAGTGCCTAAAATGAAAGTGGTAAAATGAATAGAAAACAGAAAAAAAAAACAAAATATATTAGCAATATGGGAAATTAAAGTATCATATTTTAAAGATGTTTAAAGGTAAGGATCGCCTTATAAAAACAATGAAAATCACTAAGTATTAAATAATAATACATGTAAATATGAGTTAATCGTATTCAAATAACAGTTTTTAGGTTTTTACGTAAGCAATCTTTACTTAAAAATATCTCGAAAACGTGACAGCTTAGGGTAACTTTTTGCTATTATTTTTTTGTTTTTTTAAGTGTTTTCTATCCAAATGAATGAGTTTTATCACGCGTCGCTATTTAAAAAAAATAATGGCAGGCGGCCAGCTTTTTTAGAAAAATGTATAACTCCTTTCATTTTTTTAAATTACCATAAATAAAATAAAAAAAAACAAATCCGAGCCTTTCCCCCACTACCCAAGCCAGTGTGTGGTAGATGCTAACATGTATGTACAGCACGAACCGAGCGAGTACTGGCTGGAGGAGCCCGACTACAGCGACGAGTACATGTACCACACAGCTAGACGAGACCACCCGCGCGTGTTGCACAGAAAGATACAGTACCCGCAGAATGTGTTGTACAAGGTAGATTGTATTGTGTGTTTACTGCTTTTAGAACCTTGTCGAATTAAGAGAATTGCTTATAGATGTATTGTATTTAGAACTTTGTTGAATTCTCTATTATATTGCTTAGACTTTTATGCTGAGTTTTTTTTTTATTTTCGCGGTTTTGAGTTATTGTTTTTTTTTAATTAAAATAAACAGTTGATAATATTGGCATTTTTGCTCAAAGCTCTAAATAATATTGTATAATATTTGGAAAAAACATAATTCAAAATAACAGAACTACGCCTTATATTTAGAAACTTACAATTTCTTTTTAGAAATTTTATGCCAACATTTTCTTATTACTTCTACTATTTTGTTTACTTATAACTTGCATTTATTTTCTGGCTTACAAACTTAGTTTTGCACGAAAACATGCGTAAAAATATAAATATGAGTTGTAATCGGTTTTTCTCATATATGAGTAATATAGCGTTTTAATTTCCAGTCGCTTGCCTGGTTGGACCTATCGGACAACCACTTGGTTAGAGTCGAAAGCGGTTCGTTCACGGCCTTACCAAAGCTCCTTTGGTTAGACTTAAGTATGAACACGCCGTTCAACACTGGTGAACGAAGTGGTGGTATCTTCAAAGGCTTAGAAAGACGTTTGTTGCATCTAGGACTGAAGAATGTTAGTTTGACTGCAGTAAGTATCCGAGTTTTGCCAAACATGATAAAAAAAATTGTTTGTCTTTTATTTTAAGTTTTCTCGTTCCATGATTGTATAATAATAACACTACGAGACTTAAATGCGTGTATTTGTAAGTGGCAAAATACCTTATTACCGACGTTTCAACTGGGTTGCAACAGCCGTGGTCACGGGCAGACAGACATGTTCTTTATTTATTTATATTTACATAATACTTAATATTTTTCCGTAATTGATCAAATTCCTTGATTTGAAAAGAGAAGGACTGAATTTAGTGTCATTTTTTGTGTATATTAATCGCCACGATCATTTAATTAATAAATAGGTTATACCTCAAGGTTGGTCCATATTATTTTTATGAAAAAAAAACCTGTCCAAAGGTTGTAATACTTTTAAATTAATTTTGATTTCAGTGTATCTTTTTAATTTAAATGTAATAAACGTACAAGCAAGAGTTAAATCCAATTCTTACGAAGTGTACATATATATAATAATCTATGGTGTATGCCTTATCGTATAGTTTCATTGAAGCTTTAAGTAAATAAAACGATTTATACTTCACATTTAAAAAAAATCATCTTTTCAGTCTTAACCTTATTTATGATTACAATTTTATTGTTCAAGGTTCCATCGATGCCCTTACCAAAGCTGAAGAGTTTAGATTTGTCCTATAACAATTTACCATCTATACCAACCGACACGACGGCAAATCTCACACGTCTTCGATCTTTGGATCTTTCTTACAATGATTTGACTAATGTACCTGTTGTAAGTAATATTTTTTTTTTAATTTACTTTTTATTCTTTGCAACTTAAGAGAAGGAAATCACATATTTAATTTAACTAAGTTCAGTAGAAATATATTATTTTATTTTAACGGTTCGGTCAATATAACTACTATGGGTTATTTTTGCTTTTTTTGTCTTTTTTTACATAAAAATAAATATTTTTTACCTAAATTATTAAAAAAATCGTCACATAATCAGTATTTGTGTTCAAAACAGAATTATGTTCACACAAAACTAACGATAAAAATATTTATTTACAAAATTGATTCTCCCATGTTGATTAAACTTAATTATCTTGAGGGACTTATTTCATTAGCTAACTTTTAAATTAGTAAGAATCTAAAGCATTTCAAATAATTTTAGGCCACGCATTCACTAAGTGACCTTCGTTGGCTTTCGTTATCTGGGAACCCGATAACGGCTCTGATGAACACCAGTATGTATGGAGTATCACCACGACTTGAGTATCTTGATATTACACATTTGCGACTGAGTATTCTAGAGGTAAATTGGTTTATAGCATATTAAAAATATTTTTTTATGATTAAGTTTATAAAAGATAGATCAAATCAAAATACCTAAATCTGTAATCCATTAAAAGGAATGTTAAAATATTTTTACCTTGTTATTTTGAAAAGTATATTTATACATTTTTTAATATAAGCTTACATAAATTATATAAGTAACATTTATGTTGAAGCTTGTGAAAAATAATCGTTATTAAGTTTATTTTATCTCTTTATTATATTACTAGTGACTCACCCTCGCTTCGCTCGGGTTCGTCCTTAGCTTGGTTCCCGATACAAACTTTCATCCCCATTTTCACCCCCTTAAGGTATGATGTCCGGGATAAAAGTGCCTCAAACTATCTTCTTACCAAATTTCATCTAAATCGGTTCAGTAGATCCAGAGATTACCCACTACAACGTCACAAACTCACAAACTTTACCTCTTTATAATATTAGTATAGATTGAAAGAATTATTTTAATTATTTACTATTTTAGCACGGGGCCTTCAGTAAGATGTACGGATTACGAACGCTAAAAATTTCAGTCAATGGAAATGTTAGAGACTTTAACTTACCAAAAATACTTACCCAAAATGCCGCATTGGAGAATCTTTATATACAAGTTGATAATAACCAAGTTGATCTAAGCAAAGAAATGAACGGTTATTTGCCTTCGAAATTAAACAATCTCACTATAACTGGTAGGGCTTTAAGAGCCCTCTCTCAAAAAGTGCTAAGTGTAAGTATGGTTATTGTTCTATAATTTGACTAATGGAAAATAACTTTGAATCTAGTAAAAAAAACAGTTTTGAAATCTGTTAATTCATTTAGAGTTGTCATTTTTCATCTGGGGCTAAATAAATATATAAAACTTTACTTTCTTTTAAGACTACTCCATAATAAAATTTAGAGGTTAAACCGGTAATCTTGCAATTTTTAATTTATATTCTTTAAATTTTTATTACAAATACATTTTTATGTATGATTTTATTTCAAATTTTAGGGTGTGACATGTCAAAATTTCCAACTAACGATCTACAATACGAGCATCCAGGAGATAATGGGTGAAGTATTTTGGAAACCTGGTCGTATAAGGAATTTGACGTTAGATTTGAGACATAATCAAATATCTAGGGTACCTAACCCAGGTAAACACGAATGGCCTGGGGTACCTAACTCAGTGTTTCTACAAGATATTTATGTGTCGGGAAATCCTTTACAATGCGACTGTAGTATTGGGTAAGTTAAAAAACTTTTAGATTGATAAGAGAAATCTTTAAAACTATAATTAAATTGATCGATTATAACTGTATTGATGAAATAAAATTGAATAATTATTAAGCTAAATTACGTTTATAGCTTGATAACATAAAAAACGTATGTATGTATAGTATAAAAAAATATATATCGTTTATATTATTAGGCTCTTAAAAATAGACAAAAAAGATAAACTGCACTTATTTTTATAGTTTTTTACTGTAATTACATAAAAAATATTATTTTATTCGATTTTTTTTTAATTTGTATGGTTCTACTCTTGAATTATAACTTTTAAAGTATTCAAAAACATAAAAATCGATGCACAATTGACGAAGACACTGTGTAATATGCACACAAAAGTAATAGTTCCGGTGTGGAAAAAAAAGTTGAGTATAATTAAGTAAATGAGAAAAAAAGGTCAAACGATACCAAAACTATTTTATAAAATGATATTTTAAATAGTTTAACTAATAATAAAAATTAATTCAACAGTTGGGTTCAAGCTTGGGACAGAAAGAGAAGACAGTATTTATGCGACGGTCCATCTGAATGTATAGCGACGAGAGATGATCTCAGATTTGCAAAGTGTCCATCTCATTATAACAGAACTTTCAGTGATGTATGTATATTATGCATTTTTCCCTTTCTATAACTGCCTTCACATTTTAGGACATCGCCTTAGGATTGTCTTTTGTTTTAACCAGAGCGGAGTAAAATTTTTACTTCTAGTTACCATTTGAACTTAAACTTTGTTAATGTATTCAGCCCTTTTTAACGTCCCACTGCTGGGCACGGGCCTCCCTTCAATACGAGGGGGATCAGGCCATAGTCCACCACGCTGGCCAAGTGCGGGTTGGCGGACTTCACAAGTCTTTCGAAAACTTGCTAAGTTCTCTAAGACATGCAGGTTTCCTCACGATGTTTTCCTTCACCGTCAAGACAAGTGGTAATCATGTTGGAAATGATTCGCACATGAAAATAACAGAGGTGCGAGACCCGGGATTTGAACTCGCTTCACTCGGTTTCCCAAGCGAGCGCGTTACCACTGGGCTACCACTGCCTTAAACTTTGTTAACTTTGTTAATGACATCTAGAAATATATTCTTCACAAATGTAACCTACACAGTATACCAGTTAGAGTTCAAGGATTATTCTTATATATTTTTAATAATTTAGTAAATATTTCTTTTTTTGCAGGTTATTGCTAAAGATTTGGACTGCAGCTGGAGCAAGGGGTTCTTTAGATCCCCAAATTTCTACATCGTAATACTAATGTCTATACTTACATACTTTTACATATGAGGTTTATTTTGGCTCCTTGAAATATCCGAAGAATTCTACAAAGCATTGGAAATGATCCATCAAACAAATTAATCTTAAATAGAAGAGCTAGTCAAGTGATTTTCACCTTTCTGCTTACTCGAGCTACTAAATGATAAATAATTTCAAACAGCAAGGAACAATATTGTAACCCAGCATTATAGTAATTTAAAATAAAGAAATATTTTCTATTTTTAAATTATTCCAAAACTGAGTTACAACGTTGTTCGTCGGTGTTGATTCCATATTGTACCTGTAAAGTGGCCTATTTAAATGAGCCAAGTCCTAGCCGTAGTGATTTCTATATTTGCTCTTAAACAAGACTTGTGTAAAGGACAAAAGACGTATTACTTATTATAAAAGTGGAGCCTAAATTGTGATTTATATTCGAAAGCGATGTGTGATCTCAATGGATTTTACAAAGTTACCATACAAATTATACGTAGAATGTTTTATCTGGAGATGAATTATTATATATTTTCAACTGTTATTAGAAACCTATAGAGTGATACCTTATAGGATTATAACAACAAATCTTAATATATAATAGCTTGTTCGTATTCCATATAAATTATTAGTTATTTTTGAAGCATATATTATTTAACAGTGGAGTTTGTGATATATGTATTTTCGATTAATGTTTGAAATCGACACATCGGAATGTTCAGCATAGTGAGTGAAGTGCACTTATGTGATCTAAAAGTCGCAAGAACTTTTGAAAGTTCGTACAGAAGCAATGAATTCATAACATAAAATCGTTTTATTAGACTGCATTCGCTCGAATGATATGTGTTCGTCCATTGTTAAGATAATTATTTATATGTGTTTGTGTATTAGGATAATTATGAATAGTTTCACCATTTGCGACTCATCATTATTTTATAAATAATTTTCGATATAAATCTGTAGCCATTTTAGAATATATTAAGTCTTTATTCATATTAATAATATCTTTATACAAAAGCTTTACATTTACACTATCATATACCAAAATTTTATTCAGAGTATCTTCGATTAAATCGCTTACTTATTACATTCTAAATTTCATTGTTTATATTTCAAAGTCTATCTGGTTATGTTGATTGAAAATATTTTATTACTTCACATGTTGTAGTTCCCGTCACGTAAAAAGAACGCTGGCCATTTGGCACTGAGCGATTTATCGATAAAATTGGTGGTATGAATGGGGCGCGACAGGGGATTGCCTATTATGATTCTACAATAAAACAATTACATTTATATTATAAAACAACTAGCTTGCTTCCCAATACAAACTTTCATCCTCATTTTCACCCCCTTAAGGGATGATTTCCGGGATAAAAAGTATCCTATATCCTTTCCAGAGCCTCAAAATATCTTCTTATAAAATTTCATTTAAATCGTTTTAGTAGATCCAGAGATTAACCCCTACAACCTCACAAACTCACAAACTTTACCTCTATAATATTAGTATAGATAGCCTTGTACTCACGTACGCTGACACATCCCCTCTACTGTCGCTCAATGTTCTTTTTACGTGACAAGACCTATTCTAATTAGCATGACATATCTATGTATTCTGTATAAAATCGTATGAGGGGTCTTTTATGCACATTAAATATATTTATTTTCATGCACATTAATAGATTTTGTTATTTTAGTATCACTTCAAAATGGATAAAACACTCAATATTTTTTTGTGAATAGAGTATACCTTAAAATCTCTTACAAATTTAAAAAAGAATTATACGCCTAGGAGTACTTTTACCTAACATTTTCAAATTGATTATTAACCTAGTTAATTTTACGAACATATGTTCAAAATTGCACTGTAGTTTTAACTTTCAAATGCGTATTGTTCCGTTTCATATAATTTTTATATTCGTTCTACACAAATTTCATAAATTAAATACATATAAGTAGATTATGTGACTCTTGCAAGACTTAGTGCGTTTTTGGTTTGAAAGCTAGTTTTTTCACTTATTCTTAGTATCTTCGAAAACAGTTGAAAGCATCAGCGAATCCTTTCAAATATTTTCGAAGATAGAGTCGTAATTTTTAAAGTTTTTCTTGAATGTGTATAATATTTTTGAATCTCTTGGCAATAGCAAGTAATTAATACGATACATAGTACATTATGTCATAAATTAGATTTATATTGACTGAAATCGAGTACTCCAGTATAAAATACTATTAGCGTTTAGTTTTAAACGTAACTTTATGAATAAAAACAAAATCGAAATTTATGCGTTGTAAGAACAAATTTTCCATTAAAAATTAAAATAGAACACTTAGGCAGTCGCATTTTATTGCATTTTCTTTAGCTAAATGCATGTTAGTTGATAGCTTGAGTAATGTAATGAGTGAAAAAAAATGGAATACCTCTTTTTCAGCGGTCCATATGAATGGTGTCAGGCCTACAAGTCTAAATTTTGTTTTTAATATCACAATAAATAATACTTAACCACTACAAATATATTTATTGTTAAAATTATTTCTGTATCAACTAAAATTCCATAGTAGTTGTCATAAATCATAGATCAAAAAGTATTTTTTGATCTATGTCATAAATACGTTTTTTACATTATGTTAATTGTTTGAATTAAAAAGCTACTTATTTAATTTAATGTGATGTTAAAAACAAGACATTATCGTTTGTTGTGACAATGAATATATTTTGTGATATATATTACTCTAATCCTTCTATTTTTGATAAGCCTACGACGAATATTGCTAATGATTACGGGAATTGTATAGCAGATTTAAAATGGTAAAGTATAGATGCAGCCTCATACGTTGATTCCTTTGCATGTCAATTTTTATTGGATTTGCCGATTTATCGAGATAAATAAATTATTTATATATATTTACTTAAAAAGTACTTCATGAACTCTTTAAAAATATGAATAAATTATTCGATAACATGATAAATTCGGTAATTTGACTTCTTATTACTGTTAGTAACTAAAGCAACAATGACGTACCAAAATAAATCTACTGAGTTATTTCTTCTCACCTACATAATATAGGTATTATTTTTAACTAAATATATTTTATTTTAATAACATTCTTCTTTATTATATTACTATGCTCTAATAGCAGCTACTCTTATAACTTCATTTACTTTATACATATTAAGTAATCATTTAAAATTTACCTTTAATTTTTAATTAAATTTCATCCGCTGCATCCAAATGTGATAGTAATTAGTTAGTGCCAATAAATAGACTAAATTAATTAAAAAATAATACTTAAATAACATTTTTATTCTTAATAATCTTGTAAATTACTTTTTTTTATAAGAATTTGTTCTAGACGTATGTTAAAAACAACAACATTCTTATATTTTAACAAAAACATTCTTATATTTGTTTGTTGAACCCGAAAATACGAGTATTCCAACGTTTCAACGTAATGATTACTCATTGTTTTTGTAACAAGTAAAAAAGCTGTCATTATATTTGTGTACGTATTTGAGCGTAAACGAGCGAGTCTTTGGGGAAAACGGAAATGTCTATTTATTAATTTTCCTTATTGAAAAAACAGTAACTAAAAAAATAAACTCACATATCGACTGCGGTAAGAAAAATGTTTTTAATAGTATAAAACAATAAAAAAACGATTAAATAATAAACGGTAACGAAAACAATAAGTCTGAAGCTAACCGAGATGAACGTATGTTTGCGAGTAAAAATATCTTAAACTTTTAATGAAAGAAAAAATAAACAGGAGATCTATGGAAATAGAACAGGTACTCCTTTTGGGTTTCGCCGCAGTAGGGTAAAAATTAGTATTTTACATGTTTCACATTGATATAAAGATTACATACAATATGATTTTTCTTTTTTAATTTATTCTACAACTAGCGGCTTACACTCGTTTCGCTCGAATTCGTCTCTAGGTACGTTTTAAATAGATATAAATAGGTTATATTTATTTAAAATTTACTAGCAAGCGTTAGCCATAATTTTTTTTTTGTTTTCGTGAATTTTTCTGATGTTTTAATAGTTATTCTGCTATTTCAGTTCTTGAATTCTAAATGGTGTAACTAACCCGATTTTGTTTTACATATTTATATATATATATATATATATATATATATATATATATATATATATATATATATATATATATATATGTTTAACGTAAATTAAGATTTTTTTCAAGATACAAATTCTTATCAAAAAAAGTAATCATTAATAATATATTATTGTTTATTGCCTGTGGATGTTGTAAATATGAAGCTAAGGGTGTTGTGTTGGGATTGTGTCGATGTACCTTGTAAAGGATTAGAACACGGATTGTCTTCACTACTTAAAACGACTCTTTAAAATAGTGTGAAATAAAAACAATTATTGAATTATTAATTATTAGCGTATTAATAAATTATTGCGTTAATATTGATATTTGTTTTATTTACTGATATGTATAACGGTTAAGTGGTGACCCTGCATGATACTTCGATGGTCAGGAGTTCGATTTTCGTCTGTGGATTATATTGGTATTATTATATAAAGCTCACAAAAAAGCTCTCATAGTTAACAAATATAATTACAAAAATACGTTTAAAAAAATACGTCGAAGCATTTATTTTCTCCGCAAATATATTTTATCAATAAGCAAAAAATTGTAACAAGAGTTGTGACAAATATTTAATAGTAAATTCCATCCATACCACCTCGATGTCCAGCGTTCACCAACAGTGCGATTTCTAAGACATTTTTGCCCCGCACAACCACTCTGTGGAAAAAAACTGTCGCCAGCGGTCTTCCGAACCGTTACGACCTAACAACTTTCAAGAAGAGAACGTATTCATTCTTGAAAGGTCGGCAACGCATTAGCAAGCCCTGCGGTGTTGCAGATGACCATGGTCGGCGGTGATCACTTTGCATCAGGTGAATCTCCTGCCCGTTTGCCCCCTTGATCCCTTAAAAAAATATTTAAAAAGAGTGGCTACAAAATTTTATATATATTTTAATAAAAAAAATACTTTAATAATA